AAATACCCTACAATATGCGTATTTTCGGAATGGGTACAACGTGTGAATGCTGAAAATCGATATCTGATCCAATATCGAGGCCATCGGGTTTCACAAAAAGTGTCAAATACCCTAAGATCTGTGTATTTTTGAAACGAGGACGCCGCGTAGATGCTTTTGTAAGCTATTTGACACTTCTTCTGAAATAGAAAGCCACCATCTTGAATTTCAAGATGGCATCGGACATCGATTTCTGGCTTCTAAATGTCAGCCCGATTCAAAAAAAAACCCACATAGATCGATATTTGACAATATTTCACAGCCAGTGATGGCGAGGGGGGACACCCCTCACCATCCCTCTCCAAAGGGGGAGTTTGGTAAAGAGAGTTGAAAAAACCGATTTGTACCTTCCTTAAAAGTTGTCCTAGCTCGCTATTCTAATATCTATATGCAATCTTCACACTGCCGTACTCTAACGGAACTATCAACTCTATGCTTTCATCTACTCCATCTATCGTATAAAAATTACCACTACAGTCTGTTATTTGAAATTAGCATCTTCAACTAAATATTTCACAGTTTTTCTGAATCAAAGCCACCATCTTGGATTTAAAGACGGCGTGACATCAATTTTCGGCATCTTCGTCTCATCTCCATTCTGAAAATAACCATATTTTAGGATATTTGACACTTTTCCTCAAATCGGAGGCCGCCGTCTTGGATTACAAAATGGCGTCGGATATCGATTTCCGGCTTCTAGACGTCACACTGATTCTAAAAAAACCGTTTGTGTGGGTATTTGATTGAATTTACAACTTTTTCTCAAACCGGAAGCCACCATCATGGATTCCAAAATGGCGTCGGATATTGATTTCCAATCCCCAGACGTCACCCCGATTCCAAAAATACCCATATTGATGGGACGACATCAGCATTTCCCATTTTTTTCTGAAATAGGAAGCCACCATCATGGATTTCAAAATGGCGTCGGATATCGATTTCCGGCCTCTAGACGCCATCTCGATTCCAAAAAATACTTATATCGATGGGTATTTGACTGTATTTACACTTTTTCGTAAATCGGACGCCACCATCTCGGATTTCAAAATGTCGTCGGATATCGATTTTCATCCTCTAGACCCCGATTTCCAAAGTAACTTTATTGATAAGTATTTGACAGCATTTCCCACTTTTTCTTAAACTGGAAGCCGATATCTTTTATTTCAAAATGGCGTCGCATATCAATTTTCTATCTCTAGACGTCACTCCGATTAAAAAAAAATACCCATATTGCTGGGTAAACAAACCAACGCTGATAAATTTGACATCCACGTGCACACGTGCGCATACGCTTAAATGAACCGAGTGAACAATCAACAAAAGTCATAAAAACTGCACGAATTTGGATCGAACAGCTTCGCTTCAATGTAAAAGTAAGTTCATTTGACAATGAAAGAAGAAATGAAGACTAGTCAAGCCAAAACAAACAGCATGAAAACTGATCGAAAGTGGTTCTGTTGATGCTGACGGGAATCTGCTCGAAGAGAAGACAGAATGACTTTCAATTGAAAGTGATGGTTGACAGCCAAGCATGGGAAAATTCATTCACTCGCGCGAGTGCCACAGAATCAAAATAGCCATCCTCACCTACAAACCGATTGCCGAACGAGTGTAAATTCTTCCAACCAAGTGACTCTGCAGGTCCACTCAGAACTGACAGCAGAAGAAGGAAAGAAGGAAAAACTGAAAGGCAGCCGAAAAATGTTCTCAACCGAGGGAGAACCAGATTGAATGCGTAAGATCCGAATGCTAACGATTTAAATAGCCGAGTCAGATAGTTTTTGGCTCACTGATTTAAATCAGTTGTGGAGTGACGGAGATTGTAAGTAATCTGAAGGATGCCTCGCTGGATACGCCCAAGACTGGACGGGCAGTAGCTGGTGGCCGTGAACGGTTCCTGGGGAAAGCACTAGATGCGACCCTCCTCCCAAATGACCATGGCAATACAGGAAGTATTACAACAAAGGTAATTGCTATTAGGTATTTTGCAAACAGTGACAGATAGCGGACATGAAGAACCAGTGGAGGTGCCGGGCAAAGGTGTTTATCCTAGACAAATGGTAAGTTACAAATTCACTGTTGTCGTTGTCGTAGGCGCCGTCGTAGTCGCTGTCGTAATCGCCGTCGAATTCGTAGGCAGTACCATTAGTATATTTAAAATTAACCACCAACCGCTGAAAATATGAATGATCGCGTATTTCTGTTGTTCATTACATGCCAAGTGAAATTCGAGAACGTAATCTCATTTGAATAGCTTATTTAACCAGGTCTTAAACAATCGTCACGTCGGTCATAGCTTGCTATAATTGCCTGAACCAGGCGTAAAAAGAAAATCGAAACATTTAACGTCGCGTGAAAGTGGATGAATGAAGGCCTCTTTCGTAGCTTTTAGCTTCAGGATTTCAAAGATCGTCGGTTGCAGTGGCTTGCTTACTGAGCAGAAAAACGTGGTCCCAAGTCCTTTCATATTAAAAATGTATCGTAAGATCGCTTGTTTATCGTGTATTGCGTAAAACTTTTCGTTGTCGTCGGTCCCGGGTTTGAATAGTTATTAAAACTTGAGTAACGCTATAATGTGATATGAGGGGCTCGGTGGCCTTAGAACAACCGGTTTTGCATACTGGTCAGAACATCATGAGTCTAATCTCAAGCCCATCCACATTCAAGATTCGTCAATCGTTTTATTTGTTAACATGACTACATGGTAATAACAGCAACTCGATGATTAAAAAGGAGCTCGTCTGCCTAGTGGCAAACGTTTTTGCTTACTGAGCAGAAGACCGTGGGTTCAATCCCAAGCTCCTTCGCGTTATATGATGGTTAGGACATCAATTCAGCTTATCGTTTACCAAAACGAACCCTGGTGCAAACCCAACCCTATTACCCAATATCCCAGTGATTCCTCGTGGAAGTGCAGAGGTGTTCTCGGCTTCCATCAAATCGAGTGTCACGTCAACACATTCCTACCCTTTCCTTTCTTGACCTGTGTTCAGGCGTGGCCGGCGCTGGTATTGCCTAGTTTGAGATCACCAGTTTTTACACATTGAGGATGATTGCTAGTCCCAAGCATTGTCTATTGGTTCTCTGTGTAATTACAGCTAGTCTGGCAATAACAGAGTAGCAACCGTGGGCGGTCAATCATGCTCATGCTCATGCTCACTGATTTAAATCAGTTGAATTGGCCACAGCAGTTTTGAGGTATTTGCTTGACGCTTATGTTTATGTGTCACAGTATAACCGTATTCTCCATATTAACAGCAATTTAAATGTGTCAATGTATGTTTAAAGCTAGAAAAAAAAAGTGATTCTTGCTGCAAAATTCTCATTCAGCTCACTCAGCAGAATGCAATCGTAAAAGGCTCAGCAGGGCAAAAATAATAAAAGAGAAATCATCCACACTATTACACTCAGAATCATTCATGTCACGCTCAGCTGTCTGTTTTGCTCAATTCTGCGTTCATCGAAGAAAATAGAAGCAATGCGAATACAAACGAAATCAGTGCGGCTCGCACAAGCTGCTGTTCGTTTCTGATGTTGTATGTGTGTGAGTGAGTATCAAATGCAAAATGAATCGATTTTTCCCATGCTTGTTGACAGCTTCATCGTCGCTTGACGATTTTCGATTGAAAGTGACTTTGTGGGGCCCTGATTAGCAGTACATAGCTCCGTCCAATTTTTCTCAGATAAGCGTCTCGCCGATCTTCCTGAACAAATCGCCGAACCTAGAGTGATCCTGGGTGACTGCAACGCACACCACCCTGCCTGGGACACTATTAAATACAATACGTGAGGGTTGCTACTTCTGCAATGATTATTCGCGGTCCTTAAATTGCGTCAAATTATAACCACCTCAACTTTTTCTCGGAGACGGATTGATACTGCCATAGATGTCTCTTTCGCCAGTTACAATATAGTGAACCGATTGCAGTGGTCCGTGTCGGATGACCTTCTGAGAAGTGATTACCGGCCAATCGCTATATACAGCAATGACATTCCTCCAAAAACCTCACGACGTCCTCGTTGGCAGTATGATCTCGCTGACTTGGCACTGTTTTAAATTGTTGAAAATGAAAAGTTCGTCCATGGCTTTTACCGGCTCATTGTCATCTGCTTATGGTACTGAAATTATTCAAGGAGTTGGGTGCTTATTAGGGTGGGTTATATTTGTATGGTGGATCACAACCCCCTGTTCCCCACTGCTCTACCGATGTATATTGAGGTCCTCATCATCGGTGTCAAATTTGAACGAATTAAAAAAATGATCTGGATTTGCGGGAGAGTTTAAAAATTTGTAATGTATGAGTTCTTTGGAAAAAATAAATTTTAAAAATCGAGTAAGAGCATTTTTAAATATAAGGTTTTGTTCTTTTTTATTTTTACTTAAATTTTTTTTTTTTTTTTAAATCACGTTTTTAGTTTTTTTTCTTCTGAAAGATAATTATTTTCTCTACAGTCTCATACTTCATTTTGATCAAATATGTCATTTCCACGCCACATTTTTTTAAAAGTTTAAAGACGCCCGTTTTAAAATATTGAATGATCCAAAATGACCGATTTTTAGTAAAAATGTGAAAAATTGCCTATAACAAACAATTACGCATAGTTCCCTCTGGCTACGTCTATGTTTCAGAATAATGGTTTAATGTGATGATTGTGCGTTGGAATTGACGTAGTCAACCTCAATCTATATAGAATTAGAGTCAGTATTTTAGAACTTTAAACTAGTTTGGTTCAATACATAGAGACAATGTAGACTGATATACTTCAAAGAGGCAAAATAGATACTTGAAATCAAACGGAAGTGCGACGATAAGCCACTCGAATTCAGTAGACGCGTGGTCGCGTGTACTCTTCAAGTACTGGAAATACCGCAGTATCAGTCACAAATGCTCTCCGTTTACTATAAAAGCTGAAATCATTCAATTACTAGCCACATCACTTGCAACCATCTAACCTTTAAGATGAAATTCGCAATCCTCAGTCTGTTTCTGTTCGGCGCAGTCGTTCTGGTTCATAGCCAGGACCAATCGGAACCGCTTAGCACCGAAGACACCACAGTGGCGGCGTCAGAATCTACAGCACCTGCAGAAGCTGAAGACCCATCGTCCGCTGCACCAGAAGAATCGACCACCGAAGAGCAGGAATCATCCAGTCCCGAACCGGAGCCGGAGTCAACGACGGTTAGACCTTCGAAGCCACCGCATCACAAGCCACCGCATCACAAGCCACCGCACCATGGAGGACATCCGAGACCTCCACACCACCACCGACCGCGTCCACCAATGAGGTTATCGGGAAAACCGTTGGGACTGGTGCATTTTCCGGATGTTGAACAAGAAGAAATTGATTTTGATAATGATATGATTGTGCTGTTGTAGACAGAAGTTGGAAGCTGTTGGAAGTAAACGTTACCAATTTTAATATCGTCTACATGTATTTCGTACGTAGTCCTCTCTTCGCAGAAATTCAAAGTGTATCTGGTTATACAGCCATTCCAGAGGAAAACGATATAGTGGTTCTCAGAATTTAGAAGAAATTTGTAGTTTTGTTCCTCATCGCAAAATATGAGACCCTTATTTTTTATGTTGTCATTAGGGTGACCATTTCCATGAAAGGGTGGTCAAAAAATCATTTTTTTTATAATTGACTTTTTTCAAAAATTCCTAACTTTTGAATAACTGGGCCGATTTTAAAGATCAAAATATCAAAAGAGAGGTAATTAAAAGTAATTAAAAAATAGAGAACGATATAAACAAAAGGCATTTTGTATATAAAAACATTGATTGTATTTGTTTTTTTTTATGGTTTTGATGGTTTCTAGATAGGCGCAAGATGTTTTAATATCTTTCCTTGAAAATTTAGGCTTTTTTACACAACATGTTAAAAAACTACAAGGGACAGCCCTATGGGGTTGTACGCAATGGTGACGTAGGACTACGTGGTCTTATATAATAAATGGTAATGTGTATCTTTATTCAGCCAGGTATTAATCTGAACAATATTTACTTATTTTCCTTACCTCATTTTCATATTTTCATTTTCTGTTCTATTTACTATCGTACAGATTTGTCTTGAATCTGATGAAATATTGCTTGGAGCCAATGCCCATGATTGTGCTGGGTAATTAAAATGTTTATTCAACAGATTGCGTTCAACGTATCCACATCGTATGATGGCCGCACCAAGCAGACCGCTCGTAAGTCCACCGGAGGAAAGGCTCCTCTCAAACAGATGGAGGAGTGAAGAAGTCTCATCGCTACCGGCCAGGAACAGTCGCTCTGCGTGAGATTCGTCTTTACCAGAAATCGACCGAGCTGCTGACTGCAAGTTGCTTTTCAAGCGTCTGGTCCGTGAAATCGCCCAGGACTTCAAGACCGATCTGCGCTTCCAGAGCTCGGCCGTTAATGGCCCTACAGGAATTCAGCGAGGCCTATCTGGTCGGTCTGTTCACCATCCATGCCAAGCGTGTCACAATTAATTCATGTTCTATATTCGGTTTTCACAATGTGTACCCCCATATAGAAATCACAGACGTCCTACGTCAAAACCGTACGGTCGTGTCATGGATGCAACCTCTTATTCTTTTTGTCAACATTATTTTCATAAGGCAAATCAACTGATTTCTTATCGCGAACTTTGCTAACGCTGCTTTCGAACATTTAAAAGTTCAATAAATCATCAAAACCTCTTTCACGTTGGAAATCGATTTGTGGCCCTGAAAAGGGCCGATTGATTGTTTGGATGGTACTAATTTACTTGGAGCTAGTGTACTTGGTAACGGCCTTGGTTCCTTCAGAGACAGCGTGCTTGGCCAACTCACCCGGCAGCAGTGATCATCGAGCGTTTGTTGTATTGAGGACGACTCAGCAGCAATACGTTCGAAGATGTCATTGACAAAGCTGTTCATGATGCTCATGGTCTTCGACGAGACTCCGGTGTCCGGGTGGACCTGCTTCAACACCTTGTAGATGTAGATGGCATAGCTTTCTTTCCTGCGCTGTCTCCTCTTCTTCTTCTCTCCCTTGACGATGACTTTCTGCGCCTTTCCGGACTTCTTAGCGGCCTTTCCACTGGTTTTCGGTGCCATAATTTAGCTGTTCGCTTCGGTCGTTTCGACGGTGGTGTCTCGTTTTGTGCCCGTAGCATAAGAACCGAAACTCCTCCCCTTTTCAGTATTTTGCTTCCCACTGTATGTATTGTACCCTCCCAGTATTAATAATATGCTACTCGACACAGGTACAAGTAAACCCTCGATGAGTGAAATAAACCGACCTATCTGGTCGGTCTGTTCGCCATTCACGCCAAGCGTGTCACAATTATGCCAAAGGACATTCAGCTGGCTCTTCGTATTTGTGGTGAAAACTCTGAATTTTTCCGTCGAAATCTATCAAAACCGGCCCTTTTCAGAGCCACTAAAAGATTCCTCAAGAGAGTTTGGAAGGAAATTTCTGCTGTTTACAACTGATCGAATCACAGTGAATCCTGATCTAAAAATTGCAACCAGCAAGTGCCCTAGAACCAAAAGCGATGCGATGCTATGACGATGACTGTAAGGGGCTTAGAAGCAGAAGGGTGAAAGAAAGAAAGAAAATCGGCTCAGTTTCTTGAAGAGTATAGTTCAGAGAATGGAATGAACTAGAATCTTTGAAAAATCTCAAAATTTGACAAAATGGCGGGCATTTGAAAAAAAGTTATTTACCTAGCTACCGCCATTTTGTCAAATTTTGAGATTTTTCAGTGATTCTAGTTCATTCCATTCTCTGAACTATACTCTTCAAGAAACTGAGCCGATTTTCTTTCTAGGTGACGATTTGCGACCTCTAGGCTGCTCGCAGTTTTGGGAAGTACCCGCCGGGCAGCCGCCATATTGGACGCCATTTTGGATTTTTGGACTTGAAAAAATTCTTAGTTGTAGAGCAAGAATGAATAAAGATTTGACAAAAAACTCAGGTCTCTAACTTTTACCAGTTCCCTGGAAAAAAATCCAAAGTTTAGGTCAATTGAACCGGAAATCCCCCTTAAGCATGATCCGAGAAAAATGGTGAAGGAAGTGTGTTCTGAGGAAAATAAAGAAAAATGCTGAAGAATTAAAATTACATTATACATACAAATACAAATTACAAGTTTTAAGAAAATCAGCACAGAATTCCAAGGTATTCTGAGGAGAATTCCAAAGGATTTCTGAGGAGAGTTTTGCGAAAGGTGAAATAATTTCAAAGTTTTAAATAATTCCAAAGGTTTTTGAGCTAAAGATTGCTTGATTAAGCTCAAACTGTTATTCAACTTTCTATTTTTGTTGCATTATGTCAAGGTTTATTGATTTTTCCAGGTTCTCCCGTCAAATTCCCGGCTTTTTCCCGGTTTCCCTGGCTTCTTTTCAAATTCACGCTTCTTTCCCGGTTCTCACGGTTTTCCCGGTTTTCCCGGTTCGCTGGCTACCCTGGCCACCTCTTCGTTCGACATTTTATGTCTTCGTTATCTCCGACACACTAAATCAAGGGACGATTGCCACAAGTGATACTGCAAGACTTGCATTCGATCTCCGTTCGTTTCACCGTTGAATTGGCTGTTCAAAGATTGAAGCTCTCGTTTGAAGCTGGCCCAAATACTGAAATTCCTGCGTAGGGTAAACGCTCCTATAGTTGCGGTACGTTAGAAGCGTTAGGTTCCTATAGTTGTGCATGGAGGCTCAATTCACAACTATAGGAACCTAACGCTTCTAACGTACCGCAACTATAGGAGCGTGTACCCTACGTTCTGGGCAAAAACTGATTAATTTGTCATTTCAGGGATTTCATTTGTTGCTCAAAGGTATTCTAAATCATAATCAATGAAACACTATTCAGCTCTCGCAAAAATTACATTTCTACGACTCAGCACGGGTTCTATGCAAAACAATCAGCTTCGACGAGTTTGACCGAATTAGTGTCGAACCATGGATTCTAACAGATAAGTCGATGCCGTTAACGCTGACCTCAAGACTGAGGTCAGGTGGACCAAATTCTTCTAGGTAAACTAGAAAAAGTTTCTGGTTTCTTGAATTCTTGGTGCACATCGCACCTCACGGACTACTCGCTGAACGTTAACATTTTCGGCGTTCTTCAATGAGTAATGTAGAACTTCTTCTATGTTCACTGTTTTTAAATGGTGTAGGGGCATTAGGCCGAAAGTCATTAAGCTGAATGGGCCGAAATAGCCAAAAATAGAAAAGTGGTGTATTGAACTAAGAATGTTCTTTGAAGCAATCTCTAACACTCTGGGACGGTTAGATTTTTTTTAGATTTCTGTCCAAACGGTCTTGATTTTTTTTTACAAGTTCGTTTATCTACTAGGCTCAGTCGTTTGTGACACTTTGCGGAGCCAAAAATCAGTAATGCTTGAATTTGAATTTTAAACAGCAGTAGTTCTAGGTTAGTATTGGGCAAAAATTACTCGTGGCCGGTTCGAGGTTAATGGGTAACAATTTCGATTGGAAGGAGCTAGGTAGGAAACTGGTTTCTGAAGCCCGTACTCTCGAACGGTTGACCAAATGCTGGCTGGGCAGGCCAAGTAGCACAGGAACAGGTGGATAATAAGACTGGGACACAAGGTATGGAAATGTGTGGAAAGGAGGGGATGGTCACATCAAACTCTAACATCAGACAAACAAGGGAATTCGTAGATCACCTGCATGTAGGGAAGATCACGGGTTCCCAATACATCTCTTACTTCACGGAAGGGTTGTCTACCTCGGGTCACTAGAGTATCCAATAGTCGTGCTCTGGAGGCGTCATTACCCGGGCAATACCAAACTGCGTGATCGATGTCATCATAACCTTGTAACGTCGTACGTTTATTTCGTTTCAATTTACAGTTTAGTTTAGAATAACTATGGTTAGTATTTGAACCTTGTAATTAATTAAGAATGCAATTAAATGAGTGATCCGTTTCCAATGCAATGTAGCAAAAAGCTTTGTGATACGTACATTTGTCTGGATTTTTATGGCGAGATAAGAGTGAACTTGTAGATATGAAGCTTTTATAGCAAGCTAGCAGATGTAGCTTTTGTTTATAGATTGGGAAATACGTGAAAGAGATAGGATTCAAATGAACACCTGAGTAAAATGGCTAAGCCGAACATTGATTTTTCGCGCCATATCCGATCCTTTTATCTTTAAGAAATTCCGTGGTGCTTGGGAAAAAGAAATTCTAGTCTCTGCCATTTCGCTAACGAATCGGCTGGAAAGCAGTGGTGTTTGACGTGGTTTTCAAGTTCGTCAGTCAAGTGTGAACTCAGTGAAATTCGATCAAAAAAATAAAGGTGATTAATTTAAAAGAAGTTTTCGAGTCATTTAATTAATTCGATAGCTCTTTTTGTGCATTTAGATTTTTCTTGCCT